CCCCATTGCAGCACCGCCAGAGCGGCTAGCCCGTCCATTCATCTTGGAGGGGAGCAGACCGATGGGGAACATGGCCCATATCTCCGTTTCCTCCCCCAGCGCCTCACTCCAGCCCCGCAGTCCTACATCTCCTGTCACACCACCTCGCATCCCCGTGGAAAATCCCCGGCAGCTCACCACAAGGAGCTCAGAAGGATTGCTGGTATTGATGACTGACTGTTGGCAAACAGGGTCCTCCCCAGGCAGACTCAAAACCTCGTAAAAAGTATAAAAACATAATGCAAACGTCTTTTTTTTTTTTGCACATTCTTATTTTAACGTTTTGACTTCTGTAATTGTTTTTGCACAGACTGCACTCAGTAGCCACTTAGCTAATGTGATTAGACAACGGTGGGTCAAGCAGCTCTAACTACAATAATCAAACTTACAACAAACTGTCAGCAACACGGCACCTGATGCTCCTACCGCGCTAACTAACACTAACTAGCAGAGCTAACACTATCTTCAGACTGGCAGTTGAATTTTGTGCAGTTTGTCGCAACCAGGCATCCGTAGTTCATGTCATAGCTTTAGTAAACAGGACAATAAAGATAAAGATAAAAAGTGCTTTTTGGTATGAGTTTGGTTTGAGACTCACTAGACCCTCTTGCAACTTAAACTAAACTAGAAGAATGCATTTCCTGAAGAAAATCTGTGTGGATGCTGACTGCTGAAGGATCACCCTGAAAATGCTGAAATGACTGAAATCAATTGCTGAAACAGCTGAAGGATAAGGAGAAATGGCTGAAGTTTTTTGTTGAAATAGTTGAAGGTTTAGATGAAATGGCTGAAGTTTTTGTTGAAATAGTAAAAGGATGAGATGCAATGCTGAACAATTGTGGAAGATGAAAAATATTGAATAATTATGAAAGATGAAAAGAAAAAGTGGAATAATTATGTAAGATGAAATCAAATGCTGTAGTTTGGAAATTATTCTCTAAAAAAAACGAGAGCTTAAAAGCACCAGTGAAACAATGGAAGGTATAATGCCAAACTAAGAAGTAGAAATAAAATTGCTTAAATTTGTAAAAAGGCCTTCATATGAACTTAACTTGCGATCTGGGCATTTCATTTGAAAATTTGGCACATTTTGAGGTCTTCGTTTAAACATAATTTGCGATCAAGGGCTTTTATTTTAAAAATTTGACATGTTTTGGGGCCTTATGTGAAGCTAATTGGCAATCTGGGCTTTTATTTTGATAATCTGGCATGTCATGGGGCATTCACGTAAAGTTAATTAGCAATCTGGTGCTTTTATTTTGAAAATCTGGCACATTTTGGGGCCTTCGTGTGAAGCTAATTTGCAATCTGGGCTTTTATTTTGAAAATCCAGGATGTCATGGGGCATTCATTTAAACAATATGCAATCAGACTTTTATTTTGAAAATGTGGTGTATTTGGGGGAATTATTTTGAACTCTTATTTTGAAGGCAGACCAACCTATGTCAGTGTTTGCGTGTGTGTGTGTGTGTGTGTGTGTGTTGTTGGGTTCGCTCATTGTTCGCTCTCTTTTTCTCTCTCTCCCTCTCTCAGCAGGTTGGTGGAGTTCTCGGGCATGGTTGTCACAGCTGTTTTCCATCAACTCCACTACCTGCGCCTAATTAGCCTGTGAGCAGGAGCTTCCACTTCGCCAGTCCATTAAGAATTATTCCTGAGACAGTGTGGCTCACCTTCAATGTTTTTCCCACAAGACTTTTTGATATATCCTACCCTGTCTGATTCCCGTTCCTGTTTGTTCCTGCCATCCCTCGTTTAAGAGTAATTTACCACTTTCCTTCGTTTCTTTTTGTAACTCGCCTGTCCTGCTCTTCGCTCTTTTTCTGGGTTGAACCTGTTCCTGGTGACTACTCTGTTCCCCTGTGCTTTTCGATGCCTTGGTTGTTTCCTCTGCCTGATGACACCTCGTTCTCACTTGTGCTCTGTCCCTGATGTCTGGGTTGCCTCCATTGACCACCATCTTCCTGTCCTGTGAATTCCACCTGGCTGTGAAGACTCTTGACTTCTCTGGCACCTCTCCAACTGCCTTGGTCATCAGTCACTAACCTCATCCATCCTGCCTGACATATCCAGTCAGCTGCCTCAGGAGATCACCTGCGAATTACAGACTCTGTTCCCATTCTCCTTTTCCTGTTGTGAAATAAACTTGTAGTCCAGAACCTGTATTCTGCCATCTGAGTCCTGCCTGCCACACTCTCTCCTCTAGCTGGACCCCACCGGTCCTAACAAGAGTAGCTTTAACATAGAACAAAATGTCCCAGTTTTTCATCAGTGTGGTTTAAATATGAACTTACTGTATATGGATACAGAGATGCATTATATTACACAGCATATGGTACAGAGCTGCAGTGGGGTCTACAGCACAGGACAGACAGCCCATACAGAACTACTTGCATGGTAAAATATTACACAGGTAAAGAGAGGGATGGGGCCAACACATAAAAGAAAAAGAAAATGACAAGAAAATTAAAGTTTCATGAAGGAAAAAGGATGCTGTTGTTGCAGAGCAAAAGAAAAGCAGGAAGTCTGTAAT